ACGAAAAGAAAACACTTGAAAAGAGCACAAATTAAATGTCTGAACACGAGCGCTGACAAACAGGAAGTGATAGTTAGGTAGAATAGCACAGAGGGAGTCACATGGGTGTGTGGCACTACTACTGGTAGAGGTTTGTCACATAATAATTTGCATGCAAGAGTAGGTTAAACCATGTAAATCAAGGGGTGTGTGGGAGTGAAAGGCTTGTGGCATTGAAAACATTTTTGCCAATAGAGGGTAGTACTGAACGAGAAAGCTATGTATGTGAGTGGAAGTAAGGTACCTTGTCGGAATTGGTGTAGGAATAATAAGAATCAGCATTTGTCATTATCAAAGGTCATCCAGATCCCCAAACAACAAAACACCAACTCATCAAAATGTATTCTTCCACATCCATATATCTATCCCATAAAAAACCTTAAAGAGTTTAAACTATCAGCACACAGCACATCATCAAACAAAACAGGGTAGGAATAGGTGCTTAGAAATGCACACACAATGTGTGGAATCCAAGACCCACTGGCTTGAGTCCTATTTGTTTTAAACTTGAATTATGTATAATATTTTTTCACAAACTGGATTCTAATTTTTTAAAATCTGAAACGTATGTAGGGATAAAAAGATATTGGTAGATAAGAAGACCGAATAACAGAAAATGGTACCCAAGGAATCCTATACTGATAACTTTTAGCTAACAATTTTGTTGGCTTTCAATGTCTGAAATTAAGGATTAAAAAGCACTCAAATACCATAGTTAAGATAGGTGTTTTAAGGTAGTTAAGGTGTCTTAAGGTGGGGTGTACAGTTTTAAAAATCATGAAAAATCCTTATGAATGAGCTAACTAACGTTTTGTTCAATGACCACGGTGGAGGGAATGGTGTAATCCCAAAAGTTCATAATGGTAAGTGTGTTGATTAAAAAAACAAAACGAAAAACTATTCAGTCCTGAACAGAAATAATCCTGAAGTTAATGGTATTAGTGGTACAATAATTCCAAAAATAAACTTAGGCTATGTTTTCAAAGTTAAAACTTGTTATCTTTGGCATTCAAGACAACTTTATCAATCAACCTTTTTAGTACAAGAATCAAACAGCTTCCACCAAGTGCTTATATAAGCCACTAAACACGTTTAAAACTTGAAGTGTTTAAGTCTATCCTCACAGCTCAATTTATTCACATCATGCTTTAACCTGGTGTTCCTTTTCTGCACTCTTTCCATAGTTTAGTGTAAATTATAATTATCTTTTTTACTTTAAAACTCAAAATATCTATACATATATCCCAGTACCTGAATAGCTTCAATGACCAGATCAAAACACATTTACCAATAAAACAATTTTTATTAATGAAACACATTTTCCGTATACTCAACCACTGACTGTTCCAGCAATATTTTAACCAACTAAACTGTATAATATTTAAAATGAAAGCATAAAAAAGCTATTATTGGCATAGCAAAACCAGAACCGACTCCAAATAGAAAGGTATCTTCACTGGCTATTATTAATTTTGAAACTTATCATTAAATTGTATACACATTTGTTTTTCTCTCTTAAAATACTGTTTTCCTACATTGCTGAAAATTACAACTTTCAACTGTTTGTGGTTTTTAAAGTAAACTGTAACTTGCACTAAAATTATTAAATAGTTTTAATTAAATGTAGTGAAGTTATTGATTGCTTCTCTTGCTTATAGCATCAAATGAACAGTGAAGGTAAGTGCAAATTTTTGTAAGATGTCATAAAATTAAAGTCTGACTTACAATTATGTAGCTAGAATGTATAACATATTTAAAGCTTGAATCATTTAGGTAACAAGAAATATATATGCACTAATAAGATATATATATACATTATAATTGACATATATTAGAAGAGAAATATAAAATATCTTTATAAATATGCAATGCGTGTGACATGACATGTAATTTTAATTGCAAAACAAGCTTTTTCTACAGATTTATGAGGCTTTACAGCTTCATTATGAGCACAATTTGAACTGCAATCAAAGCTACAGCTATTAAAGAATATATCATAAGTGCAGTATAGATAAGCTAAATAACATGTGCTGAACTTACAATTGTCCTTTACATACAGCAATAAAATTTGAAGATATTTTAAACTTACTTTCTCTTAAGCAATTCTGAATTCGTGGATTATCCATGCTTTGTTCTCTGTCACAAAAGACCAATATAAATTTAGATTGACATCATCAAAATATAACCAACAAATAAAATAGTTCTAGACCAATATAAATTTAGATTGGCATCATCAAAATATAACCAACAAATAAAATAATTCTAGATATTAAAATGTAACAATTCTTTAAAGGCTGTACAAAATAAATCATATTTTTCACATCCAAATAAAATATGTTTAATGACAGAGGATAGCAACAAAAAATGTTGTACAAAGATAGTCTATTGTTCAAGTTCATTATTTTAATTATATAGAAAAATAAACCAACCAAAAATATGTTTGCTACCAATAGCTCTAATTCAATAGAAAAGTTATAAAACCTGAGGTCCAGAATACCAAAGATAACAAGGCAATCTATGCAAAGTCAATATACATACTTTGTTTTAATTCACAAAAATTTATTTTAAAGATTTCTTGTTCTGAGATTTCACCTTTGATTCCTAACACAAACAAAGGAACAGTCAAATGCACACTTTAAACCATTTTACAAAGGCAAAATTAAAATACTGTCTAGCACCGAGTTAGGCAAAACAAGCCATCACTTTGTAGCATATTCTAGTCTATAAGTACATTTATGTTAACATTCTTACAGTTGATTTTAATACTACTAGCATAGCTACTTAAATGAAAACTTACCATTCAATATATACAGGTAAGTATATGTAACATTATCTTAATTAAAACATGCATTTGAAAGATATTTCTTCATGTAGTTGGAGTGTAAGTTCACTACGTTACTTTGTCATCAGAGAGAATACAATATATTTCTTTTGTGTCGTATTTGTTGTAAAAACTTAAATCAAATTACAAAATTATAGTTACCAAACTTATGCTGTCTTAGCAATTCATCTTATTTCAGATGACTTCACATTAATCTATGCAAATAATTATTTTTGAGGAAGCAAAATCTGAGCTGATACAGAATTCAGACTTTAATAAAACGACATGTAAAGAATTAAACACTGCCAAATAAAACTTAATCTGAAATGTCCATAAAATGTACATTGATTCCATTAGCTTGTTAAATTCATTTTTCTAAACTACTTATACACCAAATTATACGAGGGTCCATGACTTTGTTGGTTACAGGGACCCTTATGACATATGAGTCACGTATGTCATTGAAGTTAATCCCACAAATTACTGCTGGGTCCTCCTATGTATTGTACATAGAAATTTAATAAGTTCATACAACTTCTTGGTAATTTCTTTATAGTAAGTGAAATGAGGAGCAAGCAAATAGATAAAATTACTCAATATGTTGCAGTATACGACTCTCACCTGTAATAAGCAGTATAAAAACAAGTCAGTGATATAAGAGTTAATCATAAAGCTTGTGGATAAGTTATAATGCATGTTTAAATAAGAAATTCAGTGAAAAGTGACACAAGTAATTCCTATTACCAAAACAAGACAGAAGTTGGAAAAATATGTCATACAGCACTTCAGTAAAGTGCCTTTCTTTCTGACAATTAGAGTATATTGAAGAGCACTCTCTATGTAAGGATGGCACAGAGCAATACAAAAGTCATCTGGATTTTCTTCTCTATAGATCATCAGAAGCAAGATATGAAGAGCTACCTGGCATAGTCGCTCTTTCATCTCCAGTGTATATGCCACTTTTAAGCTATCTAGAGCATCCTAATGTTGAAAACCAGTGAATAGTCAAAAACCAAGATTTTTTTCTTTTGGTTCATCATCATCTTTCTTCAACAAGCCTAGAGCCCACCTAGTTCTAGCAGAAACTACAATTTTATCATCATTTGATAGAGTAAAACAGTATTCATGATCTTTTACTACCTATTTTATTGTTATTCTATGCAAAATTTAAAAAAATCATAATTCTAGAGTAAACAATATATATACCCTTGAAGTTACAGAATTCTGGTGTTCTTTTAAAAAGCTTAAGTACAGAGTGAAACAGGAATTACCAGCCAATAATAAATGAACATTAGATGACTATAGAATACTCAATGCTTTGTACACTATACAATCAGTATCTTTAGGGAGCCACCTCCTATATTATGTATGAAGTAAAGGAGTAAAAAAAAAACATATAAAGGTCATCAGAAGCTAGATTTGAAGAGCTACCTGGCATAGTCGCTCTATGTTCAGTGTAGATGATGCTTTTCAGCTATCCAGAGCATCCCAAAGTCAAAAACCAGCAAATAACCGAAACAGAGATCTCTTATTTGCATTCATCATCATCTTTCTTCAACAGACCTAGTGCATAGTTAGTTCTAGTAGTAACTACAATTTTATCATTATTTGATAAAGCAAAACAGTCTTCATGATCTTTGACTACCTATTTTATTATTGTTCTATGTAAAATTTATAAAGCTTTAGAATACACTCTTAGTAACCCACATATGCCATCTTACAAAAAACAAAATATAAGGAAAAAAAATTATTGCTAAAAAAGTATGTGGGGCTGGCTACTGAACTTAAAATAAAAGAACCAAACAAGGTAGGAATGGAAGTGAACATATCACTTGATTAGCTAAGGTTCACAAAGCACACTAAACTGTCTCAGCTTTATATGGAGAATAAAATCCCTACGTTATTGGCTTCCTTACTGGCAAAACAAATAGAACCAATTGTAAAATGTTATTCTATTGTAAAATAGTCATAAAAGTAGCATTCTAAAGTTAAGTAAAAGAAACGTATAATGATGAAAGCTGAGATTCTATTCAAACTATTTGATCATTAGCCGATCAAGTGATATGTCCATTTCCATACCTATATTGTTTGGTTCCTTTTTTCAAGGTCAGTAGCCAGCCCTACATAACTTTTTTATTTAGCGATAATTTTTGTCTTTTTTTTCACAGGTCTCAGCATACTTTTGTAAATTCTTTACCCAAGGACTAAAGTAGTAGTAATGTGCATGTACTCACTTTCCATTGAGCCACATTTTGTCCTGACTAAAAGATCTGCTGATGGCCACTGTTGTTTCTGCACACAACTGAAAAACAAATTAAAATATAACTTTTCTCGTATACACACACAAACTTGCATTAACTGTATTAAATAAGTTCAATTTAATAACTTCAATTTTAAATAAGTTACATCCTTTGAAGTAGAAAATATGTAGAATAAAAAAAAAAGAGTTTTAACCCATATACATAATGTATATATGTATAGCTTTAACATCAATACATTTCAAAATCAGGACTGACTGGATCCTAGTTGAGAATATGTACGGTGTATTTTTCAAGAATTTATAAAATGAGCCAGTAACTCAAAAGCATTATTCATATAATTCTTTTAAAAATGACGCCACTTGCCACAACCCAATTTGATTACATTTCATTACCAAGAGATAATAAAGAGCAATTTGGTTATTAACAATAGTATAGCCTAGAATAACCAAACTACACATGGAAACCTTGTTTTCTTTAACCAACCCTGACCACTAAACTGTTGAAGCTTTTACCACACCTGAAGGTATATTCTTCCATTCACCAAGTACCCTATTAAAACAGTAACACTGCATCAACTGGAGTCATGTCTGAGTTCTACATGTCTAGCTTGTGTTGTCAAATCTTAATACCTACGGTGTTTTATGAAAATGTTTTCTGGATTTATGAATTCAAAACCTCTAACAATATTTTAAAAACCTGAATTATATTCTCTCCAGTGAAAAGATAAAGTTCTAAAATGAGCTTACATAACTTTTGATTTTAAAAGTGATGATGCTACTCTTGCTCAGGAACATCGAGAGCCAGCATGGGCCTTGGGGCAAACATCCTCGGCGAGCATTTTTTAACATTTTCAAGAATTTATTAAAAAGAAGATCCTAAATTAGGACAGCAACGAGCTCATAAA